GTCGGGTCTTACGTTCCCGTTGGGCATTGGTACTAGATGAATCCCGACTTTCCTTCACGTTATTCCATTTTCCTGTTACCGAGCCGTTCGTTTGCGATTTTATCGTAGTGTGTCCGCAACCCTTGATAGACTTGTCTTTCTCTACTTCGTTTATGTCAAAATCATTTACAGATCTATTTCAACAGATTGCATCGATGAATAGTTTCATATGCAAAGCTAAAGAGAATTAGATTTTAACGTGAAATCGACCATACCCCACCCTCTCGATGAGTTGTATGTCACTGTGTGATACTGTACTTCCATTACTGTGTATAAATTTCTTGTCACTTTTGTCCGATGGTGAACTATTTGATATATTGTGTTTATTATGCTGCTCTTCTTGCTTTTCACTCTTGTCTAAGGATTTTCTATGAGTACTTTTGGTAGTAGCGCTCTGTGCTTGCGATGAGACCTGGCTGCTACTATTGTGTACTCCGCCATTTTGTACACTTGTTTCTATGGAATTGTTGTTGCCTTCTGAAAGACCAAATGAAAACATTAAAATATATTTAATTATGGCAATTATAACAAGACGCGTTCGTTCGGGATTGATAATAAATACAAGCTACCTCTGCTTTTTTCGGGGCTTGGGTTATACTGTGGACTCATTTTATGTGCTTGACTTTTGACGTGTTGTTCTAACGACGCAGCGACAGGCTGCGTCTGTGATTGCACCTGCGGTTGGATTTGCTGCATCGACATAGCCTGTTGCTCTAGAGGCAGTGCTTGCTGCAGTAATTGTAAATAGAACTCGTTCTCTTTTGCCACGTCTTTTTGTTTTCTCTGTCGAGCCAAAAACAAATCAAGATATGTAAACATCATGTGTAACCACGGCAATGTATCGCAGAGACACACATGTACTTTATGATACATCGGCGGGAAGTTGTTCAAAACTAACCTGCCTCATTCTGTAGCCTACATAGCTCTTGAAACCAAAGCCCAATGTAACTACAGGATAGCCAATGCTGAAAATACGCGCGTTACAGAAAAATGTACTTGGAGTGGATGGATATTGATAGATTATTCTAGGAAATATGAAGCATAATATTTTAATGATACAATTTTGCAAAACTAAAGATAAAACTGTTACCAATGTGCTGCAAACGGCCGACAGAGGTCTAGGTGAAATGGCATATGACGTAAATCACGCAACCGCACTGCTGCTTCTATATATAGAAATAGTAGCCACAGCATCACAGTTGGTAGACACACTCCTTTATCTATATAATACATCATGTTGAATTATTTTTTTATATCCATCAAAAGTCAAAATTCCCACAGTCATACAGATTTCTATCCTAAGTAAGCGAACTCTTACAGTACGAGGAATCATATTTTGATACATTTATATTGCATACACAGTCTTGTATTGTTGAAAACATTTATCTCCTACATACCTGTGTGCCAAACATATTGCACCCAAACATAAGTGCTGGCAGCAAAAAACAGCCAATGCACAGGGATGAAAAAGAAGCAAATCATGTCTGATGTGAGTGCAATACAAATAAAAAATACAGAGAAGGCCTGAAAGAGAGAGGAGAAATAATGTGATTTCATACATATGCGATAATGCACAATCTGTATAATCTGAGTAATTACGTAATATTGACAACTTACCAAGCCTTGATATTTAAAGGAATCGTAAACGCTTCGGAGGAGTAGCCAGAATGGCCACAAAAATTCAAAACGGAATTCCAAAATGAAGTCTGCCAAGATCACCATGGCCCATAGTAGAAGAAACTTCAGATAAAGCAAGGTACTGAAACAGACATAATTGTACTGTTTTAATACAGCGCTGTATAGCTGGAGTACAATCTACAACACCAGTGCATATGTACAAATGCTACACACATCTATATTAAGAGCGTTATCGTGTACTTTCATTCAAAAGCGTTAAGTAAACATACATTTGGGCCATGAGATACACTATGTAGAATGACATTATCAAAAACACACGGAGGACTTACATAACGCTTAAGACGTTAACGCTCCGCGAGGCAAAGAAAGAAACCGGGAAAGAGGCTGTGCTATCGCATCTAGTTTTTGTTATCACGTTGCCAGTCGCGAGTGTACGGCGGCAGGGAGTCATGTATTGGCTACGGGATGCTGCATGTACATGGTACATAACAAGTAAATACGCTGAAGGATGCGATGCGAAGAGAGACTAACAGGAAAACGCGCTCGGAAAGAACGCAATGGAAAGTATGGCTGGGAAATTCAACCAGGTGAGTGTCAGACGAAACCAGAACGGCGTCGATTCAGCGTCGCGGTTCTCGGCGTTCGCGCGCGCGCGACCGTCGCCGTTATCATCGCCATCAACACAACATCATTATTATCATCTTCATCATTATCATTATTATTATCATAATCGTCATCATTATCATTATCGCCGACGTTGTCGTCGTAGTCTTGTCGCAATGACCCACAACAAGCCTCGCGTCCTCCCGTGCGGATGGAGGGAGGAGGGAAAGGAGGGCTCTTTTGGTTACTTTCCCGATCTCTCGCAGAAGAAGAAACGGCCATTCCCCGACGTAGGTGTACGCGCCAGGCGTACGCATATGGCGGCGTGAGAATTTACCTTCCGTAGATCCCCTCGGTGAGCTTGTTGCGTTTCAAGGGCCTCCGAAGCTTACCGCACTCGACATTTCTCCTCTTCATATTCCTCGGCACCTTTCACCACCAACCAGCTTAAGCGACGTTACTCGCGGCGCGCTTCAACGGGGGGGTAAACGGAAAAAAAGCGGCCGCGACAACGGCGGACACGACACTCGCCTCCTCGGCTTGCGCGGGATTACACGCTCGCGTGTGCGAAAAAAACTCGGACTCTCTCTCGCGCGCGCGACTTCTATCAGTCTCTTTTGTTGTCATTCGTCTGTGGACAGACCCGAGGTCTCACGGCGGTTTACCAAGCAGCTGATTGGTCCATCGCGGGACATGGCGCTTTAATCAGCGACGAGGAATCACCTGCCGATTATATTAATCGCGCGGCGCCGCGCACCACCGCGGCCGTCCCTGCCGTTTGCGTCGCGAAAATCGCAAGACGTTGTCGTCGTCGTCAAAAGCGGGCCGATCGCTCGCTCATTCGCCCGCCTCGTTCACGCTGCTTCGCTTCGCTCGGTCTGTCTCTCTCTCTCTCTCTTCTCGCTCCCTCTGGCTCTGTCTTTCTCTCTCTCTCTCTCTCTCTCTCACTCCTTCCCCCTCGCGATTTTCCGTCGCGCGATGATTTCGGGCTCTCGCTACGAGCCTTTATCGATCGTAGATGTCTCCCAACCGTGCTGCGGTCGGTCCATCGGCTCGTTTCATTCGCGTTAGCAGCGCACTCCGCGCGACCTGGCAACACGCGCGTTCTCCTCCTCCTCCTC